ATTAATTGTGATAATTTTCTCGAAACATTTGAGCACAACATAAAAAAAATTAGATTTGTAAGAAATTTGATTGAAACCTTTCTCATTCATAAAATTTTCTTTAATTTTTCGTCTAAGTAGGAATTTTGCATTAACAAATCAACGTTTCCAATTTAGTTTTTGAGTTTTATTAGACAATTTTGATGAAATGAATAAACAAAAAAATTGCAAGATTAACCAAACCATTTTTGGGCATTATTTGAAAAGCTATAAAATGTGCCGTATTTGTGTCGGTGCCTAATTACCATTCACCCACATACCCGCTGAAAAACTGAAAATTTGGTGCAAAAATGGCCCCTCCTCGCCCTCAAAAATCGTTTCAAGCTCGCCGTCGATAAAAGAAAAAAAGAAACGATTCCGAACCGCAGACAATGGTGAATATCAATGCGATCCAACAATGAAGGGCGGATCCAGTACCGTATTAGCATAAATACACGTTACATTGTCCTGTGACATCCAAGGGTGCGTCGATTTGAAAAAAATTCCAATCAAAACCAAGCCGAAAACTCCTCAACGCTCCAGTTAGCTACCGGTTTTGCCACCCCGCGTCGCGCTACTGGTCACGACTCCGATGGGTGGGGATAATATGAGTTGTTTTATTGGTAAACGGTAGCCGGAACAATCGCTACTGGGTACCGCGAGCCAATTAAATCGCACGATTTCGGACCGACAACCACTCCCGAACTAATTAAAATCTTTACTAACCTGCGCTTTCACCAACTCGATGATGATGATGATGATGGAACACAATCTTCTTCCGAGTTTTGCTTCTGTACCAAACTAGAGATGGTAGCCCAATGATCCTAGCAGTAGTGTGTAGCTCAGGGCTCCCTCGTGCCCCTCTGCCCCCCTTCTGGAGCTTACTAAACCCAACCTACCTGAAGAGACCCCTTAAGAGGCCCGGACATAAGGCTCACAAACGCTGACAAGCTTAAACCAGAAGCCGGACCTGAAATATGCCAAAATCGACCGTAAACACACAACACGTAAGACAACGACGACTTGATTGAGTTTTTAAAATTCACCACACTTTTGACTAAAATACCAATGGCCTAGTTTTACCATAAAAAACTTTCTATTGGGATAATTATGGGGTTTTTGAGAGAAATTTGCATTGTGATTTACTGAAGCCTGAAATACATAACATTTCAGAGTTATCTTTTTTCGTGATGAAAAATTATGAAAAACATTTTTAATAAACAGTTTTGTTCAATTAATTGCTAATAATTATTAATCATGAGTTTATTAAAAGTAGAGTAAAGACGGGAGAAATGGATCATAGGGGCGGACAGATTATTAATCGCCGATTAACAAAAAACTCAGTTCAAAGCCAGTTTTAAAATCCAGTTAAAGAGACTTTAAAGTTAATCTTATGGTTTAGAATGTGAAATTTGTGTTAACAAGTACGTAATAATCAGCACGTTCTAAACAACATTTAATTATTTTTCAAAATCTATTTTTTATTATTTATTTTTTTTTATTTGTAAGTTTGTTTGACCTGACTTAAATTGACGTTCTTTACACCTAATTCAACACTTTATTAAAAATTTGTAGTTTTATAAGTCAAATGTAAAATACAGGTGACCAATAAATGACTGACCAGTTACTCAAACTTTAGATAGGTATACAGAGACATTATTTAATTTAGATAAACAAAAATTTACAGTCTAATTCATTTACCTAGTGATTATAAAAATTGTAATTTTGTTAATAAACTGTACCAATCTCTTAAATATTAAAAATTCTGCTTATAAAAATTGGCAAAACTTTCGTTGAAACACATTGTAATATGTGTTTTTTTTTTTAATCCAAATATCAATTTGGAAACTTTTTAAGTGATGACTGCGCCCAAATAATTTTTTTGGTGTTATCATTTTATGAATGGGGTTTATGCAGAAAAAATGTAATTTTTCCCGACCTTATCTAGAATTTTTTTCTAATAATTTTTTTTTTTTTTAAACTAAAATGTTTTTAAACATTTTTCATTTTAAATAAAAAACTTTACCTATTGTTTTTTATTAAATCAGTCATAATAGTATAATTATGTTATTAGAAGTAAAAGTGAAGCTGAACGTTTATTTAACTAAAAACTAAGCTAATTTATAAAAGTAGAGTAAAGACGGGAGAGATGGATCATAGGGGTGGACGATTTAAAAAACGCTATATCTCTTATATGAGATGTAATATTTTAAAACCGTAAAGAATCGCTTAAAGAAATAACCAAAATAATAAAAAAAAATTATACAGGCTGCGCCAGAACTTGCGCCCCAGAGAAAAATACCATGTAAGGAACATGAAAAAATGTTACAAAAATTCTATCTAAAAAAATTTCGAAGTTATGAAAATTTAAATTTTGCACTTTGACTGTTAAAAAATAAATGTCAAATTTTTTTGTCAGAGATAAAAATTTATGTTTTTTTTTTGTTACGTTTTGTTAAGTATTTGTCATTGTGACTTTATGAGAAAAAATATTAGTAGGATTATGCATTGAAATAAAGGTCATAATATTAAGCAAATTTCTCAAAATTTCGTTTATGTCTCCCGGACGTACCCTATATTTCGAGTAGATTTAGGAAAGTAGCCAGAGTTGCAAAAATCTTTTTTTATTAAAATGTAATAAATAATTAATTTTTATTCTACCAGAAATTTCCGTGGTAAAACACAAAATATGATACAATTTTTTTCCTGAAAATCTTGCTGTTTTTATAAAAAAAAATTATTCAAGTAGGCTATATCGCGTTTCACATATATTTTGCCATAAAATAAGTTGTTTAAATTTATTTTGGAAGTTTTAAACTACTTAAATATTTTTTTAAATAAGAAACCGCGAACATTAATTGAGATTATTAATCGCCGATTACCAAAAAACTCATTTGAAGTTTTATATAATCAAAATAAAAAGACAAAATCTTATTGTTTTTATTTTTTTTTATTTATAGGCTTGTTTGACTTGACGTTTTTTACACCTAATTCAACACTTTATTAAAAATTTGTAGTTTTATAAGTCAAATGTAAAATACAGGTGACCCATAAATGACTGACCAGTTACTCAAACTTTCAGTCTAATTTATTTACCGAGTGATTATAAAAATTGTAAACTGTATTTTTTCAACAATTTTTTTAATTTTAAAAATTCTGGTCACAAAAATTTTCGTTGAAACACACTGGAATGTGTTTTTTAATGAACTTGAAAACTTCATAATTTTCATATTTATTACAAAACGTGTTTAAAAAAATAACCATAATTTTTAATTCCAATGTTTCAAGTTGCCTAAATAGGGTGAGTGCGGGAAAAGAAACCACATTTTTTATCTTAAACCACTTTTAAAGTAAATTTTAATTGGAATTTTGAAATTTAAATTTGACTGAAGTCGATACAGTGAAAACGAATAAAATTTCACATTATAAAATATGCAAAAATTAGAATAGAAATTATGTTAGCAAAACTTCAACACTGATTTTATAATCAGAATCACAAATTGGCTTTCATGTGCCACGGCTGTCTTGATATTAAATAGCTAACAAAAACTTTGTTTTTCACGGCAGTTGTCTTTTGTTTAAAACCCCGCTATCTCCGTCAAATTGCCGCTAATAAAATCCGAAAACAAAAGGTCACAATTTCCATTAATTTGAGTAAATATTTATGTTAATTAGGTGTCACCCAGGTATATAACAGACGTGCAAACAGTTAAAACATTTTCTCGTAAAGTAGGTGTAATAAATTTCTAAAATTAGTCTCAATTTGTCAAGTGGGTGTAGCTATTTATCAGCTAGCGTTTCCAGAAAACGCCATCGGAGGAAAAAATTCGGTCTTTTTGTGTGAAAAGTGCCGCTACACAACCGCAAATACTGATAACGAAACTATTTATTGCTTCAACACACGGAGTTTGACTCATGACCACACATGCTGGGATGTTTGATACGAATTGGAATTTTGGGGGCTACTGAGTGATTCACAAAGGAATTGAGGTCATTTGAGTGATTTTCGTCAACGAAAAAAATCAATATTCGACGCGAAACTCGTTTTAAGATTTATGTGAGGATTCAATCTTTTCGAGAATTAATAGTCTTTTGGCGATTGGAACAAACGGTGTGTTTAACCTTATCTTTCACACTCTTGCACAACCTGAAACGAATTAACATTCTTTTCTGAATTCATTAGAGTTTTTTCTTTTGCCAAAACGAAACGTTATGTAACACTCGCAAAATTAAGAAAAAAAAAACAATTTTATTTTTAATTTGGACTAAGAAGCAGACTCTAGTGACTTTGTGTCACTTTGACAAAGAAGACGAAAAGTAAAAATTGTTATTATATTTTAAGCACTAAAAAATAGACCCCTACACAAAAAAAATAACTAAACTTAATAGAGATATTAGATGCGAAAGCTTTAGGTAGGACACCCTGCATAATTTTTTACTGTTTGACAAGATTTGCACAATATTTTTACAATTTCAACACATCTTTCCATAATCTAATTTTTCCAATTTTATTAGAAAAAAAGTACAGTTGCAAAAAAAATGTGACACGACAAACTTTTCAAAAGTGAAAATTTAAATTTTAGTAAATTTTAGAACAATTGGTATAGAATTAGTTGATACAAATTTTTAGAATTTAATTGTAATTATTTGGGAGTT